CCCAAGAACACGCGAGATCAACCACGATAGGACCTAACAAGAATCGTAAAATCCTTTATTCCCGGAGCTCTTCCTAGAAGACGCTAGATATCAATATCGATAGGAGTTAAGAAAAATCGTAAATCATATCACTAGTTGCTAGCGTTGCAAAAATTTTAGACAAAGGAAAAGTCCGCCCTTTTGGGGTATAAATACGAGGCCCTCGGAAGCGCACCGCGTCAGTAGTAATCTTCAGTTCACCGTGTCAGTTGTCCGAGGCGATAAGCCCGAGTCAACTGTTCGGTCTCTTTCTTGCTTGTTCAATACCTCTTTGGTCGACAGTCAGTTGTCCGAGGCATCGCCCGAGTCAATTGACCAAGATCTGGTGTTAAATTAGAATCAGTGCACCGAGGACCATCTACGGCCCGTCGACCGACCGTGCGCCTCCGAGGCTTTCGAAGTCCACCAGGACCACCCACGACGACCGTGCGCCTCCGAGACCCCTCCGAAGCCTTTTGCATCCTGCCTCCTGGAGATTCCATAGGAACCTCCACCATCGCTGACCGCACTGCGAGGGATTGATCACCGCCACCTTTTCTTCCACAAGTAAGACATTTCCGCTACCTTTCTTACCCTTTCACCTTCCTCAAGGAGTATGCGTAATAAATATCGTGCACGCAAACTCCAATCTTAATTTTTCACATTCTCCATACTTAACACCACCTTCAAATTTTAGTGCGCACTCGGGGTGCCTCTAAGGAACCTCGCCGAAGAGGCCCTTACGTTAAGAACCGTAGGAGTCCGCGGCCCTGTCAACCCTTGGTTACGCCGCTTCTCCCCGTAGACGCTACTCCGCTTCTCCCCGTAGACGTTACATCGCGTCCTTCAGTTATCGTTACGCCTCCCTCCGCTCAGCCCGCCACGGACACACACACACCCACACCTACACACGTACAATATCCTGAACCCTCCTACTACCCTGTTGATTCCTCAGAGTTTCCTCTTGACCTTACCAAATTTCCGCTTTTAACTCCCCGTGATTCCCCCTCGATTTCCCCTGTCCCGATGAACGAGAGATTTCCTCCCCTTTCCCTGGACGAGATTCCCACTCCTCCTCCACTCATAGAACCCCATTCACCTTCCGTCAACAATAGTACCTCAGAGGTGATGCGGAAAACTGTTTTTCAATATTGTAATTATCATACTGTAATAATTGTCAATTAGGTAAAAGTTAGAAAAGGGGAGCCTTCCCCAATGACCTTGACCTTGACATATGTTGTCAAGGTCATGACCCTGAGTAACCTCCCGCAGTTTTTAGGTGGTGGTCGCTGTCCGTTAAAAAGTTATGATCAAAAAATGTTTGAAAAATTACATTTTATTTCCATTATAAAGTGTGACTTTCAAGCGAAGTATTGATGTATTTTTGGTAATTATACAGAATCACTCGAGCAGCTTTAAAATCGATGAAATTTAGGCTTATTCGAGGCGTTTTTGCATGAAACGAAAGAATCTGGCAGAAATAAGCGTCGCTGTGTTCAACGAACCGAGATATTTAGCGTCGAAGTTATTGTTGTCAGACACGAAATTCTATACTTTTCCCTGTTCAGAAACGTTGAACTTTCCACGCAAAATAACTTTTACCCCCCTCCCCCTGCACAGGGGCACACGACTTCTACGATTGTACTGTTGCTATGATAGTACTGTCGGGGCAGACCTCTGTCGACGGTGTGGGAAAAAAAGGGGGGGGGGGGGGGGGCGAAGGCCACTCCATTGCACCCGCCCGTGTATGTGTGTGTATTCTATTCGTTATGTAACGATTATGAGTCTATTACTTGATATTTTACACACGCACGCACGCACGCACGCACACACAGGCGCAAGCGGGCGGCCTTGGCCACCCCTCCGCTCCCACACCATCGACAGAGGTCTGCCCCGACAGTACTATCATAACAACAGTACAATCGTAGAAATATAATGAAAGAAATACCAGTTGACTCGTGCGATGAAAATCTGAGGTAGTGAAATTGCCTTGTCAAGTCATGTACACAGGATGTTGATGTGTGATGATACGAAATATTTATTATATGGGGCATTCCACGCGAAGTGATCCACCCAAAAAAATTTCTTTTTCCGATCGGGCTGAAATTTGCACAATCTATTGTTCTATCAACCATGATAACTCACAGCAATTTTTACGGTGTTTGTGCAACACGTTGTCTACTTACAGGGGCTCGAAGTTTCGGCGTTGAGAACGTTATGTCAAACTTCTCACTTCTATAATTTCTAGTGAACAGCACCGATTTTAAAAAACGACCAGTGATTCTTGAAGCATTTTTTACGTACTTTGATAATATATTATGAATGTTTAAAGAAAAACATTAATTTTTCGATATTTTGCAAAATTAACATTAAAATTCGATTTTTCTCAAAGAAAGACATCTTAGATTTTAATTTAAAAAATATGAAAAAAAAGAAGACAATTTTTCCAACAAAAAAGTTTCTTACTTCCAAGTTGGAGAAATTACTCCTTCTCGAGTTATAAGGCATTTTGTGTCTGAACTCGTACTCCGAGCCTCCGCAGCACGCATCGCCATCGCCAGCCGAGAGTCGCGGCGTTCCATGACTCTCAACTTTCGCCCTTCTTTTGTTTCTGATTTTAAGTTTTTTAAAGATAACATTTGTTTCTCCTCTTGCATTGACTTTAAATGTTTTAGCAGCCGGTAGATGGCCGATTTTCTCGAAATTGAAGTCACTTTCTGATTCCTATAGATGCAAAACTGACCGACTCGTGGTTTCAAATTTTCATACGAATTAAGTCATTTTCAAGAAATACATTTTCTCTTGAAATTTTTTAATTTTATATACGTACGTGAATTATGAAATATTTTAAGATTTCCAAGATTTTTCATTTTATACAGCTTCTAGTAAAAAAATCAAACTTTTTAAATTCTAAAAAATAATTAAAACAAACAGGGCTACGAGCCAACATTCGTTAAAATATAAATGTCTTAGTAAATATAATATGTCATTAGTTAAAAATAAATATAAAGTTTAAAAAATTTAAAAACAAACGTTTCGACCTTAAACGGCCATGAAACAACCTAATTTCCGCGCGGATCAGCTCGTCGTAAATTTCGCTAATCGCGAAAAAGGTTCGCACGGGAAGAGAGAATGCAGAAACAAATAATTAAACGGTATTTTAAGACAAGAGACAGAAACGTTTATTGCGTGTATCGTGTATATTTACAAATGTGTGTGTGTGTGTGTGTGTGTGTGGTATTCGTGAATGGTAAGCAGGTGCGTGTCGTGTGTCGGTGTAGATGTGTATGTCGTGTACGCAGGTGTATATGTATAGTGCCGAGACGGCAAGTAGACGAGACGGATACAAGACGTGTACAGAAAAACAACGAGGCGCGGATAGAAAAACTAAGATATTACGGACGGCACGAACAGAAAAACTAGACGTGTAAATTACGGCGCGAGTACGGCGGAAAACACGTGGGGATCTTTAAATTCCAATACGGGCGCGGAAATCGCGGAGCGCGGTCGGTATTACGGATATTCTCGTGGACGCGGAGTATACGCCAGCGGCGGATGACGGTCGCGGCGCGGATAACGCGGTGGGCGTTCCCTCTACGCAATGAGGGACGCTTCGCGGAATGTAAAGTGCACAGGTCTTCTAACGCCCGACTGCCAAGAACGCTTGGCGGAGGCGAAGAACACTTCACCCCTTTTCTCGCCGGTGCGCTAGGTCTAGGATACTGGCGTACGGCTGTCAAGAACGCTTGACGGAGGCAAAGAACGCTTTACCCCCTTTTCGCGTCGTACGGCCAGCGGATCAGGAAATTTGGCGATCAACTGTCAAGAACGCTTGACGGAGACCAAGAACACTTGACCCCCTTTTCGCGTCGGATCACCGGAGCTAGGATCGGAGCGGAGTTCGTAATGGAGCGGCGGTTAGGATAGAAGAGAGCTCCCGGAGCAATAATTACGCGTTATATACTAATTATTGCTCCCGCTCGTTTTATTACGGACTTTTCCGTTATCGTTCGGCGGTCGGCAATCCCTGCGGAGGGGATTGTCGATCGGCGATGTTCGGTCGCGTTCGGTCGGAGCGGCGGATAGCGCGAAGCGCAGATCGTTCGGTAATCTTCGGACGCGTTCGGTCGGAGCGGCGATAGCTACTGTCGACGGCGGTAATTCTAATATCGAGAAATATGAAATGTTTCTGGCGGCTGGTATCGTCGGAACGATGCATTGCGGAATGCATCGTTACAATTTAAATGACCATCGTTATTGTCAATTCCTTATTTTCATAAACAATGTCTTTTCACAAAAAGTAACAATTTTTGTTTTATAATTTCTCTATTAAAACTGTAACAACTGTGAAAGTTTTGACATTGAACGGCCCTCATTCAATACATTGTCACCAGCACCATAGGAGACATTTGAAACAGAAGATTATAGTACATAATGTGCATGATATACAAGAACAGTTGTATACGCGTGTAAGTAATAATGCAATTTTGAGGTCGATTCAATGCGGCTCCTTTTTTATCGATTGATCGATGAACGCGCGCTCTAGTCTAAGAGAAGGTTAGGTGCTAGTAGCGCTTCTTTGTACTTTGTATCAACACACGACTGTTAGCGTTAAGAGCTTTGTAAGAAGAAAAGCAATAAATTGGTAATAGCAATCAAGAGACAATATCTATTCCTACATAAATTTGGTCTTTCGAGCCGGATCTGACAAGGGATCCGTGAAAGTGAATTCGGCAAGGAATTCTGGACAGATCGGCGTGCGCGGACGAGAAAAGCGCGCGTACGTTACATCCGACATTTTTGTGTACACGTTCGCGGTGTGTTTTCGCCGAGATTTCTGTGCGTTGAGCAGGCTTAATTTTCGACAAATAGTCAACGACAGAGATATTGAGGGCTGCAACAATTCGCCCAGCGTCGCAAAACAACATCGGCGTGAGTAAGACAAGCGATTTACGATCGTGATAGTTTGCGTGATATTTACAATGAGCATCGAAGAGCTTCGTAGTCAGAGAGGCTGTATCAAGGGGAAGCTCACACGCATTATAAGCTATGTTGATGAGGTAGCGAATAAAAAGATTATTCCTACGCGTGAGGATCTATCGGTGCGTCTCGACAAGTTAGACGCCGCTGACAAGGAATTTCAATATGTCGTGGAAAAAATAATCGAGGTGAGCCGAGAGCACGATTTATCGGCCGACGACGTAGCAGAACAAGAAAAATTCGAAGGTCGATACTACGAAACTAAGGCCACGCTTTCCAGATGGATTGAACAGCTTCGATCACAGACAACAAGCAATGATAACGGAAAGTACGTTAGAACGAGTAATCGAGCAGAATTGTTGCGTCAATTCACTATACAACAAACAGACTGTCAAACTTCGCTGGCGAATATCAAGTCTCATGAGGTTACCTGTCATAAATTTGCCAACTTTCGACGGCAAGGTCGAAGAATGAAAACGATTTTCAGATTCATTCAAAACATTGATTCACGACAGTGAGTTACCGAAGGTACAAAAGCATCAATATTTAGTGAGTGCGCTTTCAGGAAGCGCGGCAAAGGCAATTGAAGCGATCGAAATCTCTGAACAGAATTACGAGATCGCATGGAATCTGTTGAGAGATCGCTTTGACAATGACAAGACATTGCGCAGGCGTCATATTCAGTGCCTATTCGAGATGCCACGAGTAGAAAAAGAGTCTGCAATTGCAATTCAGAATTTGATCGACTATACTCAGAAGCATTTGAGGATCTTAAAAAGTTTGCAACTACCCACTGACGCGTGGGACGAGCTAATTTTGTTTATGATGGAAGACAAGCTTGACAAGGTAACAAGACGTCACTGGGAAGAATCCATCGAGGCCAAGGACAAGGCATCAATCGACATGATGATGTGTTGATGATGTCTTCAACGAAGGTGTCAACTACTCGACTGGATGACGTCGACCAATGCTCAAGTCAAGGAATCTGGTTTTCAGCACAAGGGGAAACCATCCACTAACTTCGATACGTCATCAAGAAAGAACAATCAAGGCAATAAGTCAATAGCACTCGTAGCGACCGCACACGCCAGTGGGAAGTGCTATGTGTGCAACGGGTCTCATCTCATTTATTCTTGTGAGAAATTTCTGAAGATGAGCGCAGACGAAAGGATGGCGGAGGTCAAACGATTAAAACTCTGCATCAACTGTTTGAAAAACGATCATTTTATCAAGTCATGTCGAGCGAGTTCTTGCAAGAAGTGTTCAAAGTCGATATAACACATTGTGTCACAAGCAAGCCGGTGGACAATCTCTCGTCTCGAGCAAGGACGTCTCTACCAGTGAAGCCAGAGTCAGCCGAGTGATGCGACGGGAGGTCCAGCAGTTCATCACGTCTCAAAGTCGAAACCTGCTAAGTATACTTTGTTGTCAACTGCAATTGTAAATGCGACGCATGCGAATGGTTCAATTCAACAATTACGAGTGCTGTTGGATAGTGCAAGCGAGGCAAATTTCATCACAAGATCAGCATGTAATCGATTGGGATCGACCTTTAAGATGCGTCTAGACTATCGAGCCGAAACACGAGCCGAACCTCGAGCCGAGCCGAGCCGCGAGCCGAGCTGCGAGCCGAGTCTCGAGCCGAGCCGTGCCTCGAGCCGAGCCGTGCCTCGAGCTGATGAGTTTCGAACTAAAATTATCGAGCAGAACTTCGGAGTCGAAATCAAGTCGAGCTCTAACCAAATTTCACAAGCGTCGCAAGCGATCCGTCCCGAGCAGAAATGAATCTAGCCGATCTAATTTACCACCTAGGCACTAGACAGTATTAACTAGATAAGATTTCTAACTCGTCACTGGATAGTCACTAGCTAATATTTCGTAATCTCATTAAATCTATTTAATGACTGCCTAATAATTACGATGTTACACCTACATCTTATTTACTGGACAGCCACTATACAGATATCGATATAAAAAAATCTGTCTAGTGACCGCCTAGAACTATTGATTTTACACCTACATCTTATTTACTAGGCAGCCACTAGACAGATTTTTTGGCATAAAAAATCTGTCTAGTGACGGCCTAGTAATTATGATCTTATACCTACATCTTATTTACTAGGCAGCCAGTAGACAGATTTCTCTACATGAAAAAATCTGTCTAGTGATTACCTAATAATTACGATGTTACTTCTACACCTTATTTACTAGGCAGTCACTAGACAAATTTCTCCACATGAAAAAATCTGTCTAGTAATCACTAATAATTATGACGTTACACCTACACCTTATTTACTAGGTAGCCACTAGACAGATTTCTTGGCATAAAAAAATCTATCTAATGACTACCTAATAATTATGATCTTACACCTACATCTTACTTACTAGACAGCCACTAGATAGATTTCTTGGCATAAAAAATCTGTCTAGTGACGGCCTAGTAATTATGATCTTACACCTATATCTTTTTTACTAGGCAGCCTCTAGACAGATTTCTTGACATAAAAAAATCTGTCTATTGACCGCCTAGAATTATTGATTTTACACCTACATCTTATTTACTAGGCAGCCACTAGACAGATTTCTCCACATGAAAAAATCGATTCAAAATTTTTTATATTTTGGTAGTTATGTACCTACTGAAAATGGACTTTGGTGGCTTAGGATAAGAGACTTGTAGCGCCTCTCAGTTTTTGAACATGGCCGGAGACACTACCACGTCTCCTGATAATCATCTTCTCACGGCGGCACTGTAACGATATAAGTGTTGTTATAGTCATTTTATCGTGGTGGTAGTTTTGATTTAAATTGGTTTATGTACAAATGATTGCATGCAGATAACTCTAGAGCCACCTTGCCTTAGCAAATAATACTTCTCAACGTCAGTATTCCTTTATAGTAGGGGAGGCCAAGCGGGGATTTCGGGATTTACTCGAGCGCGTCAGAATAACATAAAGGGGGAAAGCTTCAATTTGTTTTTTCATTGAGCTCTGTACGATTTTTTTTGACCGAGTTATTCAACGTTTAAGTAAAAATGGCCTTTTTACATCAACATTAAATAAATCGGTGAAAAAAAATCGTACAGAGCTCAACAAAAAAATAAATTGTAGGTAAAGATTCATTCTTTCGAAAACTGTAAACCGCATTTGTGCACAATTTTTTCTTGGCTCCGTGGAACTTAGCAAATTTTGTAAAAAATTTTTAGGTTTGACACACTTTTATTTATGATTGTGCAACTTCACGAAATATCAGTGTTCACGCCGAAGATTTCTTCGTGGGAAGATTTCGAGTGAACGGGAGTGCTGGGACCACTCCGCGAGAGTGCGAGGCAGGAACCAGGGGATCGGTGGCGAGGAGGCGGGAAGAGGGACCGAGAATCTGAGGAACGAGTGCGAGCGAGAATGAGAACGCGAGCTAGACCGACCGCGATCGCGTTAACGAGACTGCGACCACGACCGGCGTACTGCGGAGTGCGGATGAGCGGAAGAGAGAGAGTAGTATGGAATGTGACAAAATGCGAAAGTTCACTCCACTTCATTGTGCAATGGCACAAAGTCATATTGACACTTTATTTTTCTTTCGTCCGGGCTCAGAGTACACTTTGGCAACTCGAGTCGAATCAGGGGCGAAGCCCCGATAGTGACAGCACTGGCGGAAGCAAAGGCACGGTCCCTGCGCTTAGCGAAAGCACGCGACACGCCGCGCGCCGGCTGAATATCTCTTTCGACGACCAGTTCGACCGATTGTGAATCTCAATGAATTGCGATTCTCGATGACGTGAAAATGTGCACTGCCCGATACCACGACACTTTGCGGAGACTTATAATAATCGGCGCAATCACTCTTTCTTCGGATTCAATTAAATTAAATTAAGTTGCGCTCTATATCGCTCGTTAGAAGATTCTCGCTCGGCTGCTCGTTACGGAATGTGTCGGGAATTGTTTCGTGCGGCCAGTCTTCCTGGTTCTCCCGAATGAGAGGGGAAACAAGGATCACGCATCGGCCGAATGACACGCGTCGACATTGAAGCGTCTTGGATTTGAAAGTTTAACTAACCGAGCGACAACCTTCCAAGTGTTGATCATGACACGACAACGGAAGAATAGAATATTAAATACAATAGTTAAGAATATTTCATGCAATGCAAGCGAGATATTTTTTTTTTGAGTCACAAGGAACCAATAAGTCGCTAAATTAATGAAATTAAATAGAAACGAATTGAACGCTTAGTCTATTGTTGACTTGAATATGATAATTTATGCGACCATGCTTGAACATACCGCCCGCATCGAAACCATCGTTTCGAAATAAGTTGACAAGAAAAGGCGAATGGTGATGCGGTCAATATGTCGATTCACAGAATGTGGTCGCAGCGATATCGGAGGTCTGGACTCGATTACGTCTGAGTGTCCAAGCTTTCGATCTCTATCGGTAATAAGCATTATTTTACAAGAGGCCGAGTGTACTCGGATGTGGCGGTCTTCACCGTCGCGACGCGAATCAAACCGTCTGGACCAGGGTGACATCGGATGACGCGAGCCAGGTCCCATTTACAAGGCGGGAGCAAAGAGTTGCGTAATAGAACCAGCGCCCCGACTCGGATTCCGTTTTTTGAGACGGTCTTCCATTTGACTCGCTGCTGGAGGGTGTTCACGTAGTCCTGCTGCCATAGTTTCCAAAATCTTTCGGTGAGCTGACGAACGAGTTGCCAGCGTGTCAAACGGTTCTCAGCCAGTTGTAGTGCGGAAGGCTCGGGCGCGGTTGTAATCGCTGAACCGATCAGAAAATGACCGGGCGTCAGAGACTCGCAGTCGTCGACGGAATCGGTGAGGGGCGCGAGAGGGCGCGAATTAAGGCAGGCTTCAATGTTGCAGAGAATCGTCGAGAATTCTTCGAATGTAAGAGTGTGCGACGCGACAACTCTGCGGAGATGATACTTAACGCTGCGGACCCCCGCCTCCCATAGGCCGCCGAAGTGAGGCGCGGATGGAGGCATAAAGTGCCACGATACCCCATCGGAAGCGGTACTACTTTGGACGTTTGGATCGCGCAACGCGGCTCGGAATGAGGCTGCCAATTCGCGATCGGCGCCAACGAACGTGGTGCCGTTGTCAGAGTATACTGACTCTGGCAGGCCACGTCGGGAGCAGAATCTCGAAAAGGCGCCTAAGAAAGCTGGAGTGGAGTAGCTTTCGACTAATTCTAAATGAATAGCTCGCGTGGCCATGCATACGAAAATGGCGATATAAGCTTTGCGCGAGGCTATCCCACGTCCCGACATCGATCTTATTGCGACGGGACCTGCATAGTCGAGGCCACAATGAATAAACGCGCGCGCAGGGGGAGAGACGCGCACTGGAGGCAAGCCTCCCATTAATTGAGTAGGAATGGCTGCCTTTTCACGCGTGCATACGACGCATCGGAAAAGGACAGCTTTGACGATGTTTCGAGCGCGCAATATCCAGTACTCTCGACGAAGAGTAGCTAGAGTTAATTGCGGCCCTGCGTGAAGAGATCTTAAATGCACATGCTGCACGAGAAGGTTAACGAGAGGGTGCGCAGCCAAGATGACAGGGTGTTTTTCGGAGAACCGCATGGGGGCACGCAACAACCGCCCGCCAACGCGGATTAGTTTGTCTTCGCCGAGGAAAGGCGCTAACGATAACAACGCGCTCTTCGCGGGAATCGAACGTCGTTGCGACATAGACGCCTTTTCCCGCGGGAACAATTCCGATTGAATCCGAGACAACCAAAAGTCTCGCGCCTTCCGACATTCGAACGCGGAAATCGACTGAGAGCCCTCATCGCATGCATCGTGCGGCACCGAGTTTTTTTTTAGCTTTGAGACGAATCTCATGATGTAAGCGGTAACGCGAATCAAGCGCGGCCACGATGAGTACCGAGTAGCGAGATCCCATGGTTCCCGTCGAGACACGAGATGCGACACAGCGTTTTCTTCTCGTTCCATTGTAGTTTCCGAAAGAGACGAATCGAGTGGCGGCGGCCACTCGGATTCAGGACACCGTAGCCACGCCGGCCCCCGCCACCAGAGCGCGTGGGACGCAAAATCCTCCCCTGCTACGCCGCGTGACGCACAATCCGCAGGATTGTGATCGGTGGGCACGTGGCGCCACTGCGCGTTGGGAAGTCGAGATTGTATTTCAGAGACGCGATTCGCGACGAATGTCTTCCACTGGGATGGATGTCGCGCCACCCACGCGAGGACGACCGTGGAGTCGGTCCAGCAGTGGCAAGAATCAGCAGGGAGATTCAGTGAGTCCCTCACGAATTCGATCAATCGCGCAAGCAGCACGGCAGCCGCCAGTTCCAGCCGTGGAATACTTAAGGATTTAATCGGAGCAACTTTCGATTTTCCGATCAACAATCGCACAGCTATTTCACCGGACAACGAAACGATCCTGATATAGACGGTTGCGGCATAAGCGCGCGACGATGCGTCCGCGAAGCCATGTAACTCGCATCTGACGCTATCTGAGCCGCGCCGTATCCAGCGATCCAACTTAAGACCGTGCAGAGCGGCGAGGGAGGAACGAATGGTGTCCCAGCGATCGAGAAGGTCAGCCGGGAGTACGTCGTCCCAGCTTGCTTTGAGCAACCAGAGTTGCTGAAGGAAGATCTTCGCGACAACTGTAACTGGAGTACTCCACCCCAGCGGATCGAACAATCTCGCGATGGTTGAAAGGATCGACCGTTTGGTAGTTTTCTCGAAATGCGGCAGGGTTACGTTAAATTGAAAGGTGTCAGAGGACGGACTCCAACTGATGCCGAGGATTTTAAGATGTTCATCCGATTGAAGCATCTTATCGCAAGCTAGGCCGTGATCCGCGCCAGCTATATCGCTGAGGAGTTGGGCCGAGTTGCTCGCCCATTTTCTCAGTTCGAATTGGCCGCGACGAAGCAACGCGCATACCTGCCTGCGCACCTCACGAAGAAGAGGAATGTCGTCCGCTCCGAAAAGAACGTCATCGACGTATGTGTTTTGCTGCAGCACGGCAGCAGCGAGTGGAAAGGGACTACCCTCATCGTGAGCTAGTTGACGAATGACGCGTAGCGCCAAAAACGGTGCACAAGCTGTACCGTATGTGACGGTCGTGAGCTGATAAGCTCGAGCGGGCTCTGAAGAAGAGCCGCTCCATAGAATTCGCTGGTAATCGATGTCACGCGGGTCCACGTTGATTTGACGATACATTTTTGTTATATCGGCGGCATAAACGTACCGGAATTGTCGCCATCGGAGAAGTACAGCCGACAAGTCCGCTTGTAGCTTTGGCCCGGTGAGCAAATGTTGATTTAAAGAAGTCGAGTTTGTAGTCAGACTCGACGCGTTAAAGACGACTCGCAACCGCGTCGTCACGCTGCTGTCGCGAATGACAGGGTGATGAGGGATATACACTTCCTGCGAGGTGATTTGATCGCCCCTCACCTCCTGCATATGTCCCAAAGTTTTGTACTCGCTCATAAATTCGGTGTATGCCTCGCGAAGAGCGGAATTAAGACGGAAGCGGCGATGCAAACCTCGCAAGAAGCGCTCAGCCGTGCAGCGCGACTCGCCGATGGCGATCGGCGGACCGCGCCTGAAAGGCAAGCGCACTATGTATCGGCCGTCAGCACCGCGCGAATGCGCGGACACGAAATGCTCTTCGCATTGCTGCTCTTCAGGGCTGAAGAGAGCTTGTCGAGGAGCCTCCTCGATTTCCCAGAATCGTCTTAGCTCCTGATCTAGGGCGTCCGAACTCACGCAATGCTGAACGGCGATCGCTCGCGATTGAATCGACATCTCGGACGTGGGCCCCGACAGAACCCAGCCAAAAATGGTTTGCTGCGCAATTGGCTGCCCAGGGGCGCCCTTACGAACGCCGCCAAGCAGCAACTCACTATATAAGTCGGCTCCGATAAGGATCTCGATCGGCTCAGCGCTTATCGGATTCGGATCGGCGAGACTCAGCTCGCCCAGATAGCTCCAATCATAGCTCGAATTGGCCTTGTAAGGCGAATATTTAGTAAGAGATCTGAGAATCGACGCGGTTGTTGTCAGCACCGGTGAGCAGCCCGATTGATCGGAGCGATCTCAAGCTGAGCGGCGTACTGACAAGTACCGGCGTCGGTTCCGCCGACGGCGGAAATAGAAAGCGGTTGACGAATGCGACGCATTCTGAGAGCTTGTGCGAGTCGCTCCGTGATCAAGGTGACCTCCGAGCCTTGATCGAGGAGCGCTCGCACTGTGAGAGTCCGACCCGACGGTGCACCGACAGTGACGCGGGCCGTCGCGAGCAACACTTGCGGACGCGCGGCAATGGTCAACGAGGAGCACAATGCCGCGACCGAAGTGGCCACGATAGAGCTCGACAATACACTCGACGAGGTCTCGTTATTGAGAGCGACAGCGGATGCAGTCGAGGAAGAGGCCGAGTCAACGTGCAGCATCGAGTGATGCTTGCTTTGGCAAGTTCTGCACGAGTATTGACTAGGACACGCCTGAACAGCGTGCTTGGCGCTCAAGCAATTGACGCATCGCTTCGCTTTCACAATGACGTCGAGCCGTTGACTCGGAGTCTTCCGCAAAAACTGCGAACATTTGTTAATGAAATGCGCTGCGTGACAGAGTGGGCACGATAAACCCGAGGCAGTGGCGTTCGCACTGGTCACTTTAGGCGCGCGCGGGGATTTCGAAGCGTTCGCCGGAGAGATTTCCTCCAAGGCACGAATGCGCGTGTCGAGAAATTTGTCGAGAGCCTCATACGAAGGAATGTTCGAATTGTCACCGGTTTTTAGCTTCCATGCTTTCCGAGTAGCGTGGTCAAGTTTTTGCGCGACGCTAAAAACTAAGATATCGTTCAACATTTGTTCGGGAGTTCGATCCAAATTTTTTAAAGAAGCGATAGCGCGATTCGCTTTATCGCGGAGTGCGCTAAGCTCTACAGCGGATTCGCGAGCGACCGTCGGCAGAGAGTACAGCGCGGATACGTGCACGTCGACGAGCCGTCGCTTATTATCGAACCGTGAACTTAATGTTTTCCACGCGATATCAAAATTATCTGCGGTAATGGGAATAGATTTTATAACGTCGAACGCACGACCGGTGAGACTCGAAGCCAAGAAATGCATCCGCGAAAACGCAGTTAACTCGTTATTTTGAATTATGAGAGACGAGAAGCGATCGCGGAAGCTCTCCCATTCCTCGACATTCCCCGAAAACGGCGGTAATTTGATCGGCGGCAAATGATGCAATGAAAAGGACGATGGTTCCGCGGTACTTATCGTTGACTGCGACAAGCTCGTCCTTGTGGGCGTTGGATCCAGCTCTTCAAGGCAGTCGGCCATGTAGTCGAGGGTTGTCTCGTAGGTTTCCTCGCAGTTCTCGAAAAGTTTGTTCGAGAAGTATTCCAGCGTCTTCTTCTGCTCGTCCGTGCAAGCTCGGACCAGGATAGCGTGTTTTTCGATGCACCGTGTCCAGTTTTCCTTCAAGGTTGACATCCTCTGCCGAATCTTAGCCGGAGTATAATTGGCTCTACCGAGTTTTTTAAAGTTGGAGAGCGCTCGCTCCACAGATTGCAGCATGTTTAGCTGCTGCGAGAGATGATCGCTCATCGTGTTGGCTGTCCCCACCGACGGTGCGGGCGAAACGATGAGTCCGTCACTGAGTTCCCGAAGAGCGAGAGAGAGAGAAATCTCACCGCGTCCACCGTGGGTTACCTCGATCCGGCTCGAAGGACCAAAACTTTATGTTCACGCCGAAGATTTCTTCGTGGGAAGATTTCGAGTGAACGGGAGTGCTGGGACCACTCCGCGAGAGTGCGAGGCAGGAACCAGGGGATCGGTGGCGAGGAGGCGGGAAGAGGGACCGAGAATCTGAGGAACGAGTGCGAGCGAGAATGAGAACGCGAGCTAGACCGACCGCGATCGCGTTAACGAGACTGCGACCACGACCGGCGTACTGCGGAGTGCGGATGAGCGGAAGAGAGAGAGTAGTATGGAATGTGACAAAATGCGAAAGTTCACTTCACTTCATTGCACAAAGTCATATTGACACTTTATTTTTCTTTAGTCCGGGCTCAGAGTACACTTTGGCAACTCGAGTCGAATCAGGGGCGAAGCCCCGATAATGACAGCACTGGCGGAAGCAAAGGCACGGTCCCTGCGCTTAGCGAAAGCACGCGACACGCCGCGCGCCGGCTGAATATCTCTTTCGACGACCAGTTCGACCGATTGTGAATCTCAATGAATAGCGATTCTCGATGACGTGAAAATGTGCACTGCCCGATACCACGACACTTTGCGGAGACTTATAATAATCGGCGCAATCACTCTTTCTTCGGATTCAATTAAATTAAATTAAATTGCGCTCTATATCGCTCGTTAGAAGATTCTCGCTCGGCTGCTCGTTACGGAATGTGTCGGGAATTGTTTCGTGCGGCCAGTCTTCCTGGTTCTCCCGAATGAGAGGGGAAACAAGGATCACGCATCGGCCGAATGACACGCGTCGACATTGAAGCGTCTTGGATTTGAAAGTTTAACTAACCGAGCGACAACCTTCCAAGTGTTGATTTGATCATGACACGACAACGGAAGAATAGAATATTAAATACAATAGTTAAGAATATTTCATGCAATGCAAGCGAGATATTTTTTTTTTGAGTCACAAGGAACCAATAAGTCGCTAAATTAATGAAATTAAATAGAAACGAATTGAACGCTTAGTCTATTGTTGACTTGAATATGATAATTTATGCGACCATGCTTGAACAATCAATAAGACGATTTTTTCAAGTACGGATCTGAAAAGTAGAGATTTCGAACTTTAACCCTTTCAGGCATGCATTTTTCTGTATATGGAATTGACCTGTATTTTAGTACTAGGGGGTTTTCGGGGTCGCTGATTACGAATCTGTTCACAGATTTTCAAAATTCGAAATGGCGGACCAAAATACGAAAAAGTTATTAAATCACAACGGAATTGGATCTTTGAGGGTTTTCGAGGTCGTTGATTACGAATCTGTCCTCAGGTTTTCAAAATTCAAAATGGCGGATCCAAAATGGCGGACCAAAATGCGAAAAAGTTATTCGATCGCAACAAAATTGGATTTTGGAAGTTTCGGGATCGCTGATGACGAATGTCTACAGTGACTATAAATATCCAAATTCAAAACGACGAATTGAATGGATCCTATTTATTTTATAACCCCTGTAATGTGAACATGATAAAAAACTTCATTGTAACCAGACTTGAAATTTGTCTTTATTTATCAACATTCATGCACTGACGTCAATGGAAAACTATTGCTGCTTCACACGCCAAGTTGCACGCACGGCTACTTTAGACGTTGTCGTTCATTTTAGATCCCGTCCAACGCCACGCACAAAACAAATAATCCCACGACATTCTGTGAAACACTGTCCCAAATGTTGATGCACCCGCTCGTTTGCTGGACGAGCGATATTCTTTCCGTGTATGGTTCTCAAGTGCTACTAAATTCTACATAAAAATAATGATTTACATTTTTTATCCGTAGATATTATATGCAATACCATTAGTTTTGAAATAAATAATTTTAAAAATGCAAAAAGCAAAAAAAAAGAAAAGAATGGAAAAAACAAAAAAAAATTAAAAAATTCAAAAAAGTAAAAAAAATAAATGGAGACAATAACCGCCACGTCCCCGTTCATGTCTCTGGGCTTGGCTGAGAGCGGTTCTAATAAACTTTGAAACATTTAATTTTGAATATCACTGCTCAGATTCGTAATCTGCGACCTCGAAAAACCCCAAAGACCAAATTTGTTGTGATCGAATAACTTTTCGCATTCTGGTCCGCCATTTTGGATTCGCCATTTTGGATCCGCCATTTTGAATTTTGAAAATCTGAGGGCAGATTCGTAATCAGCGACCTCAAAAACCCTTGTATACACGTGCTCAACTGTGTATGTACAGTTCTTCTATAATACATGCATTAATTGTACCAAAAACATACTTTTTAGATATTAAACTTTATATATAAAAAATATAATAATGGATTTTTTAAAATTACGAATTATAACATGCTTGTTAATATAATAGTTAAAGGAATATATACAAAATTGCACGTAAATGTATGTCTTGATGTCTAAAAAGCGTAGAAAATGGAAACCAAAAAGGTGGGATCTCAGAGTCCCGCCGTGCCTGAAAGGGTTAAAATGCTTTTTTAATCATCTCGATACGATAATTTTTTACGAAAATATTCTATCTCAAAGTTTGCCTATTTTTGCAGGGTGGAACAAGTGATCCTTTAATTTTGTTGGAAAGTGTATTAAACTGGAGTTGAGAAGAAAATGATTGTTTTTCCCAATGTTTACATAACGCTTAGAATATTTGTAACTATACCAATAGCAAATTGTGAAGCAGAAAGATCTTTCTCTGTCCTTAAAAGAATAAAAAATATGTACAGAACAGTGATGTTGGCCGAACGATTAACATCTTTAACTGGCTTAGCAATCGAATCTGAATTACTAAAGGCCATTACACGTACAAAAATTTTAGTAGTAATCGTAAGGTCTTAAGCAAATCGACCAATCACAATTAAGATTAAGATCTCAGATTTTAATACGCTAAACTGTGATTGGCCGATTTGCTTAAGACCTTACGATTACTACTAAAATTTTTGTACGTGTAATGGCCTTAAGATCGATTGATTTTAATAATTTAGTATAAGATTTAGTAAAATTAAAATTGAGAAAAAAAATTTTAACTAAAGAATGTATTAATTTATTTATTTGTCTCTAATGTTTATAAGATTCAATTTTAATGTTTATTGTTTTGGATTAAATAACCTAATTATACTGTTTTACGTATGAACGTGATCATCCTTTTTTTTTTAAGATTGAAAAGAAGGGCCCCCTAAAGTTAAATAGCCCCGGGCCCCTCAACTCTTTAATCCGGGACTGCTATTTGGATAATAAAATCAACTACAAAAGTTCGTTGGAACATTATCTTATTATTTGAATAGTAGATTCAAGCATTTCGTTTTTCCCTGTGGCTCTACATTTTTTGTTCAACCATTTTTTCAGCACATTTGTATCTTTCAAAATAAATACAGAAAAATTTAAAAAAATCAAATTTTTAAGATGTTTTTTCAAAATAGCGGCGACAATATGTCCGAGCGTCAATTTTTGTTGTCATATTCATAATCAGGAGGCAAAAATACATCGAAAACATGTTCGCGTTTTTTCGATTTCAAACATACAGTCTGTACAAAATTTATGGAAAAAAAATTTTTCAAACCGACAGATTAATGAAATCCATCCACATAATCGTCAGATTATTGGTCAGCACGTCCAGGACATCAAACTGAACCCTTTGTATCTTAATCTGACGTGCTCGAGTATTTCAAGGTCACGATTTTTTTTGCATTTTCAAAATCGGCCATGACTTTCGGTCGCGTCCAAATCGTCAATTTTTTGAATAGGAGCTTCTTTAAGGTCCAATTAACATCCCCTATAAAAATCTGACGCGCTCGAGAAAATTTTTTTTTCCCCTTTTTTTGACCCCTTCCTACAGCTAACCCCACCACGCAAACCGTCAGATTAATATTTATCCGTTATCAGAAACACATGGGTCGCTTACACTATTAATATCTGACACGCTCGAGTATTTCATTGTTACTGTTTTTTTTTACATTTTTGAAAGCCTGTACACGCTCCCCCCACCACTGAAACGGCATACATCATAACCTTTTTTTTTTTAGCATCTAATCTTCACAATCCAATAGGTCCCCACGACGCTCGAGTAAATCCACATTTAGCCTCTCGGCCTGCCCCTACTATTATCAATAACTTGTACCAGTCAGTCATTGTTCTCGGTTGCGTAGTGCTTTAATAAAGTTTTCTTTGTTAAAAAAGTTTTTTTGTGAAAAAAATAAAAATATTCCTTCACGAATCTCCCGAGAAAGACGAAGAGTTCATCGTTTACAGTGGGGGAGAGGAGGAGGATGATGTAGATACTCATCCTCCTTCTTCTGAAGACAATTTTACTGAGTAGTAGAAAGAGGAGGAGGATGAGTATCTATATCATCATCATATAAATTTGGCCGAGGTCGATCCCGAAGTCCTCATCCAATTCATGGTGCACCTCCTCCAAGTAGATGGTAAGGTGGAATTAAGGTGCCTCCTCCTCACATACTTTATGGAGGGGCACCATGAATTGGACGAGGTTGAATAATACATCGACCAGGGTGGGATGCTGTCGCTGCCGCTGCTGTCGCTGCCGCTGCTGTCGCTGCCGCTGCTGTCGCTGCCGCTGCTGTCGCTGCCGCTATCGCTGCAGCTACTGAAATATTAAGGAAATAAAAATATTTATCAGTTTCATTTTTTTTCGCGGTACATCACCGCCTCGAATATTTACGCGGTCCGCCGCCACCGCCGCGACACTAGCGCCGCCTGGTGGTGGCTGGAAATCTGTATCCATGGTCCAGAACCGGCCTAATATCACTACAGACAACGAATTACTGCTGCTGAAATGCGAATGTGAACGGCAACCCACGAAGAATGCAATTTAGGAAAGATATGAATGTAATATATGATGCTGCCGCTGCTACAGACGGTTCATTTTATGACCCTGG